CGGCCCAGACGCGCCGTGGCTGTCCGCTGCCCGCATGCTCCGCCGCTTTGCTCTGCTTTGCCCCCCGTCCCCCTGGTCTGCAGACCAGGAGGATGGGGGTGGGGGGCAAAGCAGAGCCAAGCCGCGGAGCGCGCTGCCAGCTCACAGCCCAGACGCGTCTGCAGACCAGGGGGACGGGCGGGCAAAGCAGAGCCAAGCCGCGGAGCGCATGGGCAGCGGACAGCCCTGTCCGCTGCCCACGTGTTCCGCCGCTTTGCTTCCTCTCCCTGGTCTGCTGGAGACCAGGGAGAGGAATGGCCCCGTTCGTAACTGCGGATGCGACATAAGTCGGATCCGCGTAACTCGGGGACTGCCTGTACTTAATTTTTCCGTGTTTCTAGGTTTAGGTCAGACTTTTAACATCACTATAGATTGTGTATTTTTTTTTTTTTAGTTAAGACACTGCTATTAAAAAGTAATAGGCATTTTACTAGACTATTGGTCATTTTTAAATATATTTTCTAAACACACTACCATGATGAAGGTATTACAAGAACTTGGATAAAATTACATTAAAAAATTATTAAAGGAACTTTTAAGCTGCAAACACTCAAAACTTAGGCATTGCCAGAATTAGGATACCTATGTAACTTTTATTTGGTGCAATTATTAGCATGCTTTTCAATATAGTCTTTAATTGCACAAGCTCATACTGTTTTTCCCACCATAGGGCCACTGCCTCAATAAGCAACTTTTTAGTTATTAATATTTCCTTTTTATCTTCCATATTTCATATGTGACTTGAGGCCTTAATGTACACCATCCAATCAATGCACTGAACTATTTATTTTCTTATGGGCTTTCTGCAAAACTTTACTTTCTCATGGGCTTTCTGTGATGCCCTCACCAAAGTAACTAAGTGCTTCACAAACAGTAATGAAATTATCTTCACAACACCACATCATGTTATCTCTGATGTGGAGATGATAATGCCAGTTTTACACCTGGGGACTTGAGGAATAGTGATTAACACTCCAAAGTTATCAAGTGTTTGATAATTTTGGGTGCCCACTGTAAGAGGGAAGCAATTTATTTTTCAGAGCGCTTAATTCTTCCTATGTTTACACTATGATTCCAGTTGACTTACTTTACAAAAGCAAAATAAACAGAAATCCCCAACACAATTTATTTCTTGTATTTAAGAGCATATTTTTTATGTTTCCTTGAGAAAGCCCTTCCATATCTGACTTTGACATCCTCTGCATCATATACAGCATGGCATAACTGGAAGTTGTTTGGCTAGATATTTTGTTGCTTGATTTGTGTTGTGGGGTTCATTAGGTTTAGGTAGAGTGCATTAGCAGAAAGAATGTCTTTGGTCAAGAGTCTGGATTTTGAAACTGATTCTGCCCCCTCAGTGAACCTTAATTTGGTTGCCTTCAGGGTATGCTTTGCAATATTCCACTATTATTCTGGAGAATATTTGGGTCATAAAAGTTGAGATTTATTTTAAGGATGAGGTTGCAATAGATTTGAGGCAATTTCATTGCTTCCAGTCAATGGGAGTTAAAGCTGCAGAGTACCTTGCAAGATTGGTGAACCTTATTTTTGCACAGTTTATTTTCTTAAGATTAGTCAGTCTATAAATAATTATTTGTTTGTTTCACCAGTTGGTGTCAGCAGTGAATCAGAAATCACCACATAGTTCATATGAGGGACATTGCTGTAATTCATTGTTACCATTAATAAATGTAAATAGTATAACAGTTCAGTGTTTATAGTATTTATTTAGATATAATCATTCTGTACTAACAAATACAGTTTACAAAACTGTAACTAAAGTTATTCCAATTAGCTACAGGCTCAGGACATGTGCATCTTTGATTTATATGTAAAGATATTGAACTGTTCTTAAAATGTTTCCAGGTTTGCATAATTGATACATAGACTTGGATTTTGTGCTTTATTTTCAAATAAATATAAGATTAGAGATGTTCAGGAATGTTAGGCTGCTTAGCCTCGGGGGGGTGGGGGGGTTAGAGAAAGTCTGAAGATGTAATTTTTCTAAGGCACAAGGGGCAGTTTGGCACTGCACTCCCTTTGTATCTTTTGAAAGTCTTGCCTGATATATTTGTTTATATATAGTAAATTATATGTTGGGTTGCTCACTTGGTCACCTTTTTCCTGTTCTAGGTTATCTTCTGGGAAGTGAAGATTATTATTCTCATGAACGTTGTGTATTCATCAGTGCAAAGAATGCAACACGCTGTGCTCTTGATTTTCGAGATGGAGAAGAAGTTGCAGTTGGATATGAAAATATGTATTCCACAAATGTATTTACGAAAAGAGCGGTAGATCTTATAGCCAACCATAAAACTGAGAAGGTACAATACAAATCTGTTGCTTTGTGAACTTATTTTACAAGTATCTTAATATTAATGTCTGTACAATATTAATTTAGGAATTGAGCTTGCTTTGTAAACAATAGATGATAAATATCTAGATACAGATGTGGGTTTATGATAACCCTCACTGTCTTATCAGAGCAATTGGCCTTGTGTTGCTTTTTCACCTGAACAAAGACCTACACTAAACCTAGAGGAAACAGCGTTAAATAGGACATAGTCTCTTATGAGTGCAGGTTTTGCAAATTAGAGATTGATCCACTAGAAAATAAGCCCAGGTCAGAAAAGTGCACTTAATTAAAATGCTCAGCAAACAAAAATGAACAGTACTGCATTGATTCTTTAATGTTCAAAGCCTTTATGCAGGAGAACTCAGTGTTACAAACACCGGGGGAGGGCTGGTTGCACCAGGTCCAGGACCTACCCCTGCTGCAGCTCTGCATTTAAAGTGTATTAGGACCCACGTGGGCAGATAGCCAGACAGGGGCTGTTGACATCCCACACTGCAGCCTCTGTATCAGAGGCGCAGCGCAGGGCAACAGCCAGCTAGCCCTTGAGGGGAGCTAGTTTTTAAACTGGCTTCTCTCACAGACCAGCTCCCACCTGGAACCCTGTGCTGCTTCATCTGTATAAGATGCAGCACCATGGAGTGGCAACGCGCTCCTTAGGTGTGGGGTCAGAGTGCTCTGACCACCAACCTCATCCCCAGGGACTACAGAATAGTCAGGTAACCGATAAGAATTCATGAGGTTAATCGACTATTCAATTAATTGATATTTAACATCCTTATGTAAAATATATTAACCTATATTATAAAAAGAAGTAGAATTGAAGTTCTTAATTTAAAATTCTCAGAAAAAAATACAGTTTCTCTTTCTTTCCTATAATATAAAGCATGGGTGGCCAACCCATTTAACAAAGAGAGCCGAAACAGAGGCGGAAAAAATACGAAGAGCAAAACCAGAATTATCAAGCAAAAAGAAGGGCTGCCCCTTTAAGAAACAAGCTTAGGCTTTTTGGCCATATCAGGGTCCTGTTGACTGCCGACATATTGGGTGCCATTTTGAATCACCGCTGGGGCCGTTTGGGGGAGGGGGACGGCCACAGGAGCGGCTTCATGAACCACACTTTGGCCACCCCTGATATAAAGACTTCCTACACCACGACATAATAAACTTTTGTATTTAACACTACAGTCATATTAACACCCACCCCCAGAAAAAGCTAACACATTTGTTTTTGTTAAAACTCACAACAGAATAGTACAAATGAACTATCTTACTTTGGACAATACCACATATTATGCTTACTCTGACTACATGTCCCTGGTTTTCTGGGACAGTTCCTATTTTTATACTCTGTCTTGGTGTCCCCATCAAGTAATGAAATGTCCCAGATTTACAGGCCTGTATGCAGGGGGGAAGGTGCAAACTCACCCCCCCCACCCCCATGGTCCTTCCATCCTGTGTGAGCAGTGTCCTTCTCGTGGGGTAGGTCAGCAGCACCTGTCCCCCGCGTGGCCTGAGCACGCCCCACACTGAGCTCGCCAGCGCCATGGCCTTCTGCACTAGCCCCTTGAGGACTCAGGGCTCCTATAGTAGAGGAAAGAAACCACAGGGAGCAAGCCATCTCCTATGGAAGGCTTGAGTAAAGATCTGAGACTGGTATCCTGAGGAACTAGCGTGAGGATAGAGTGCTCCATTCCAGAGCAGGAAAAACCCTCAAAGATTATCCAGAAAGAGGATAGAAACAGAGTCCAGAGCATGAGTTGAAAAGATGCCCCAAAGTGCGGAAGAACCACTTATTTATTTATTTTAGGTTTGTGATTTGGCTGGAGGACTAAGCCACCTATCCAATATAGGCAAAGTTTCTAGGAGACCTACATCAGGGAAGAAAACTGAGGTAGGGAGTTGGGGCGGTGCCACCCTTCTCTATCTGGGATTGCTGTGAGGCAGCCACACCCTCTGACAGTTGGGCATGGTACTGGGAGCAGTGAGAGGGTGATTAGAACATGCCGGACAAGGACATTAGGGATGAGGAGTCTGAGGAGTGAAGAGTAGAACTGGCTAGATAAAAAGAATGGGACTAATATGAGGAGCCAGGGATGAGAAAAAGATAGGTTGGGACAGTTTGGAGAGGACAGAGCAGAATCAGGAAGAATGGGCAGGAGAGTGTGTGTCCACAACAGCATGCTTTCCTCTAGAGCAGTGGTTCTTTACCTAGGGTAATCACCCCTCGAGGGGCAATTTGGCATATTTCAGGGGGTAGTAAGTTTAAAATACAATAGGTGTTCAATTTTGTTCAACATAATGTATGAGAAAATGAAAAACAAAAATTATTAATCTTCTTTTTGTTTATTTCCATTTTAAAAAGGAGTAGGGGTAATTTTCATTTATTGGTTAAGCTTAAGGGGTAACAGTGCCAAAGAGGTTAAGAACCACTGCTCTAGAGCTAGTAATGGAACCCAAGGTTCCTGAGTTTTGCCATTCCTCTGCTGTTACAAATATCTGTGAAACCCACTAGCAAAGCATGTGTCTTATTCCCCTCTAATGCTGGTCCACTTAGAGGATAACAACTTATTATTGGTATCAATAATTCCATTAGCTCAAGGTGTAGAGATCACTATGGTGGATTTAGATGTTTTAACACTGCTGATGACCCATGTCTGTGTCAATATAATGACATGTTATGGAATTTGTTGTCTTTTTTCCTAAGCCTAGGAAACTACAAAAGAGTTTATTAAAAGAACTGTAAGATTGCAAAGTTATGCACTCAGGTTAGGATATGCCAGAATTAATGTTGCCTGTGAAACCTTAATTAGGCTTCCTTCTGTATATGTACTTTAATAGTCTCCTATTGTGTAATCATGTACTATTCTTGACTTATTAGTTCACAGAACTTGCACAAAGAATTCACTCTGAGGTAAGAGCAACAAGAAGTCCTGTGGTACCTTATAGACCAACAGTTTTATTGGAGCATAAGCTTTTGTGGGCAAAGACCCACTTAGTCAGATGCATGTGACTAGGCTACCATTAAAATGAAAACATACATTAATATTTTAGCACCTTTATAATAATCTTCCCAGAATAGTGCATATTTTGTGCTTAGAGAAATCTGAAGGAAACCAATAAAATTGCTGCATTAATTGGTTAATGTGACTTTTGCATTGACTGTTTGGGTACTTTCTCATCTATCTTGCATATTGCTTTTTCCTCCCCAGCCTCTGTTTCTCTACATTGCACTCCAATCTGTGCATGAGCCCCTTCAGGTCCCTGAGGAATACATGAAACCATATGCCTTCATCAAAGATGGGAAGAGACGTCATTATGCAGGAATGGTGTCCATTATGGATGAAGCTGTAGGAAATGTCACTTCAGCCCTAAAGAGATATGGGCTTTGGGACAATACAGTTCTCATCTTCTCTACTGGTAAGTTTAATCAAATATTCTTCAGATGACTCACTGAATGTATTATTCAATAAGCTGAAGAGAATGGTCTATTTCACAACAGATTTTAAATCCAAAATAGCTATAAAAATAAAATAAACCTATTCTAAAAGAGGATAAATTGATTTTTTCCCTCTTAAATAGAAACAATTTTGAGTGAGTATTTCTGAAAACAAAGGATTAATGCTTTTGTCTAGAACCGATATGCAATATAGAAAGGTGCTGTACAAACTTACTGAGAACCTTATGTGAGGTTCTAAGGGTCTTCAATTTCCTTTGACATTATAAATACAGACAGTCCCCGACTTACGCGGATCCGACTTATGTCGGATCCGCAGTTACGAACGGGGCTGCCCCAGAGTACATGGACTGCGGGACCTTGCGGTCCTGCCGCCCGTGTACTCTGGGGCTTTCTCTGCGTCTCCCTGGTCTGCAGACCAGGCCCAGGGAGCGGAGCAGCCCAGGCACGCCTGGGCTGCCCTGCTGCCCGAGCCCCCCCCCCAGGCTTTGCAAAGCCGCGGGAAAGCCGGCAGCGGAGCAGTCCAGGCGTGCCTGGGCTGCCTCGCTGCCCGAGCCCCCTCCCCCCCCGCGGCTTTGCAAAAGAAAGAAAAGCAGTATGAAATCTGATACCAATACTTACTGTATATAGTAAAATTGCAACTTGACTTGTGAACATTTTAATAAAATGTTTGCAGTAGATCATGGATTAAAACTAAAGACTTTTGAAGTAGAAACAGTAGTGACACTTTTTAACTAAGTTTTCAATCAATTATCTTGTGCTTATCAAATTAACATTTTTCATATTGCTGCAAAATTCATTTAATGATAGCTCTCTAAATAATCAGCTACAGACATGTTGAGAGAAAGGTTGGGCTGCCAAGAGAAGCTCATGTCACTGTCATATCCAGTAGGACTTGAACTGTACTGAAAATTTAAACGGGCAGAAATGCAACATAGTTATTGAAAGCCAAGGAAATTGGGCCTGGATCAGGCAAATCATAGACCAGTTATTCATTTTTTCCAGTCTTCTCACTTCACTTCACACAGCTGTTCTCTGTAGTAAAACATTGCATGGATTAAAGGGGCAGCTTCCAAAAAGCAAATGTTGAAACTATTAAATCTACTCAGCTTCTTTGTATAATACTTAAAAAAAATCTTTAAGTTAGATCCCTGAAAAAGCTGTAGGAAAGTGTTGGAAAAAAGAAGCCCAAAGGCATGCAGCCTGCTATCATAAAGGAGACTTTATGCTGTTATATCCTTGAAGGTTATTTACACATTTTCAGTCTTTCAAAGATGCTTCCCCTAAATGGAATGTCTATTTACAGCTATAGCGTTAGTAAAGGTAGATGATTTAATGGGGGGGGAAGAGAAAGGGAGCCCAGAACTGAGGATGGGGTGAGTCCTACAAGTGGTGGAGCTCACTTAAGTTTAATTGTGGAGCTTAAACACCTGCTAACCCCAAAAATCTCAGCTCCCAAATCCCCCTCAGTGCTTTCTCCAATGTAAGACATGCTCTCCCTCACAAGTGCCAACTTGTTCAGTCTTTCACATTCTTGCAGCTTACTTCACAGTAAGAATAGATCCCTGTCCTTCCTGATCTTTTTCGCTTTGCTTGTCTTTTGAATTTACGCCTTCTCTTTAGTCCCTGAAGGCCTGACTTCTCAGGGGAGTCCATCTTATTAGTCTCCTTACTGATGGAGTAGGGGCTTGCACCATAGATCCTCTTTCTTTGTTCCCTTTCCTCCTAGTCCAGGGCAAGTACTGGGAGTTCCATCTACGATGCCTCTTCCTATGCTGCAGATACTGATTTTACTGACTTGCCTTCCAATTTTCTCTGACCTTGGCTACTCTTCTTTGGGTTCCTCAGACCCTGAAGGATTTCAGTAGTGCCTCGGGCAGATAATGTCATAGCAGTTGGACAGCCAGACATATAAAAATTGACCCTGTCTTTCTATAGTTGTAATGTAACTGTGATTAACATGGACGCATTGAAATTGTTGAGGGCAAAGGGAGTAAGGAGGCTTAAAATGGTGACTACTGCCATGATAAGCACCAGTTTTGTCCACACACTTTCCTTAAACTAGAAATTCCTGAGGTCCCTTCTTCAATGAGGTAATTTCACTGTCTGTAATTACATAAATACAGTAAAGCCCCACATTTGGATCTCTCCCTCTCATTGGTACAAGTCCCAGCACAAAATTCTGCAATAATATTGTTCTATAAAGATTTGCTGTTGCTAGCTATGCTGATTATTGTTACTGCTACAAATGTACGGTTTCCCTTTTGTTGACTCAATTATAAAGTATCAGAGGGGTAGCCGTGTTAGTCTGAATCCGCAAAAGCGACAAGGAGTCCTATGACACCTTATAGACTAACAGATTTATTGGAGCATAAGCTTTCGTGGGCAAAGACCCACTTCATCAGATGCATGTTTTTAGCTATTTGGAGTGGAAATCCATCAACCTCATGAAGAAACTTGTATAAATACAGACATGCATCTGACGAAGTGGGTCTTTGCCCACGAAAGCTTATGCTCCAATAAATCTGTTAGTCTATAAGGCACCACAGGACACCTCGTCAATTATAAAGAACTCTTTCATAGAATTACAAAATTGTAGAACACTAGAACTGGAAGGGACCCTGAGAGATCATCCAGTCCAGTCCCCTGTCCCCACAGCAGGACCATGCATAATCTAGATCATCCCTGATAAATGTCTGTCTAACATGCTCTTAAATATCTCCAGTGATGGAGATTCCACAACCTCCCATTCCACAGCTTTTCACTGGAGTCTCACTGAATTATTACAGAAGTTGATTTTCTCTTAAATCCCAAAAAGAATAGTAGAGACTTCAATAAAAATTCTTTCTATTTCTTCCTCTTTCCGTCTGATATCGCCTAACCAGGATTCCCTTGAAAACATGCCAGTTGGCAAATGGAACTACTGCACATTTTAAAAGGACCTTGTAAAATTTATAGAGGGACTCCAAATCCTCTTTAAAGTAGTGTTATGGAAATCTCTGGCCAAAAAATGAAGTAATCTAACCATTAATACATTCTGTTTCCATAAGTGCATCACGTAACTCCACTCCTCTGCTGTCTGACTACTTTTTTGTACAGATGACCTTTTTGCACAATTAAAATAAGGCAAAATAAAGCCACTGAACTACAGTGTTACCCAACATTATTTTATAATAAAAGCATTTCCACAGTTACTCTTAGCTCACGTGTTTCTGGTTTGAGACTGATAATTATTTAGTAAATGGTTAAAATATCAGAACTACAATGATTTCAAGAACTAAGTAGTGACTAGAACATATGCTGATACATCATGCTGTAAACTTGGTTTTACAGAGAATCATACATACTCTGCTTCCTTAATAAAATGTATAGTGTCAGTGAAATGACTGTATGCAAGCAAAAGAGATATTATGAATGGAGCAATAACTTTGACATTAGAACTTATGTACAGGCAGTCCCCGGGTTACGTACAAGATAGGGACTGTAGGTTTGTTCTTAAGTTGAACCTGTATGTAAGTCGGAACTGGCGTCCAGATTCAGCCGCTGCTGAAACTGATCAGTTTCAACAGTGGCTGAATCTGGACGCCAGTTCTGACTTACATAGAGATTCAACTTAAGAACCCCAGGCGTCCCCAAGTCAGCTGCTGCTGAAACTGATCAGCGGCTGATGCTGATTCCAGGAAGCCCGGGGCAGGGGCTTCCTGTAGTCAGCCACTGGTCATTTTCAGCAGCTGCTGACTAGGGGACACCTGGGGCAGAGCAGCTGGGGTGCTGCTGGGTTGGTCCAGTGGCACCCAGAGCGGCGCTACGGGACCAACCGGCAGCGCCCCAGC